TTATTGTCATTTCTATAGACTATAACCAACATGGCTGTAGTTTTATCTTTCATACGATTGCTAAATGACCCATCTGGATGGATATTCACGCTTTTTTCGGCCTGGATGAAAGCCATTCAAGATGATGGGTCACTTACAGTAGGGCTGCACGATAAATCGAAATGGAATCGAGATCGCGATTGGACAGAAGCTGCGATTGTCATGCGTATCTTTCAGTGAAGCACTGTTCTGTGATCAGCAGTAAATCTCCATCCAAAGGGCAGAGGGCGCTCTCGCGCTGAAACTCCTAATACGCCTCGCAGAAGAAACCCAGAAAATGCCTATCGCTGCAGCTGAATAAACAGAAGATTCAACGGCTTTCATTGATTCAACGTGACTAAACACACGACTACGGCAATATACGGTTTATCTGAGTTCTTCTTATTATAATTTTCATTAAAATAAAGTATATTTATAATGCAATGCAATGCCTTTATCACTGCTTAGATACTATGAAATATGTTGCGTGCCTTATTCTGTGTAAGAAGCCACATCATCTCACAGAAGGATTTATTTCAAACACTCGACTGACGTTATGAAGTGAGTTTGGAGTAAAAATATGTTATTAAATGTGGTATTTTCACATGCTTTCAGATGGAGCAGCATTATCTTCACAGAGCCGTAGTTCACTGAGAAGCTATGCAAACAGCTGTCATTATCGTGAACGATTTCTTCGATTTCATAATCGCGCAATAAAATCGTCTGCGATTGTTTTGCGTAACTTGTCAGTGAACTACAGCTATGTGTAGTAAATTCTGCTCCATCTGAAAGCACGTGATGATGATTTCCTGCTGATTATAGAACCGGCATTACGATCAAAATGCGCATGACAATCACATTCTATTAATCGTGCAGCCCTAACTTGCAGTATGCATCTGTGTGGATACCAAGTCTCTTTTTCTTCAGGTCCTGCTATTCACGTTACCGAACAAGGCCGGTCTGCTCTGTTTCACAGAAAACAGGACGCACACCTGACCTCAACCCCAGCCTGAATTTATTAGACTCCGAGAGAGTTTGATTCAGAGGCCGAGCGTATCTCTGGCAGTTTGCCTGTGTGTGATGTAGAGTTTCAATCCTGAGAGACTCTGGGAAGAGTGCTATTCATTCACTCAAGGTTAAATATGAGCGTCTTGGGACGACGGGATAATGGGTGATGGTGAAGCTATATATGAACTTATCCATTGTGTGGATAAGCTGTTTCGTGAGCAAGATTTTTTTTTTACTCCAGTGCCAATTCAGATTGTAGATACATAGATATTTTGAACCTTTACCTTGAGAAAAAGATTAGAAGACCATAAGCAGGTGTATGAGGTAATGGTACTTTGTACACCTGAATTACTTTAGTACTACTGAAACTCAATACTTCATTAAATTATAAACAAAAACATAATTTTTGCTCCTTACAATTTAATTTAGTCATTTAAAGTGAGAAAATACTAGAAGGTGTATATGGTCATAAGTATTTTAATTATATTAAAAGAAGTCTTTCACCAAGGTTTCATCATTTATTTGATGAAAAAATACAGTACAAGCAGTAATACTGTGAAATATTATTACAGTTTTCAATAACTGAATATTAAAATTTCATTTATTCCTGTTTCAGCAGCCTTCAGTGTCACATTATTTTATTCAGCAATGATGCATTAAACTGATCAAAAGTGACAGTAAAGACATTTATAATGTTACAAATTATAATTATACAATTATTTTATGAATAGAAAGTTCAATAGAAAAAATAAAAAAGTTTCCACTTTTTTTCTCATTAATTTCATTTTGTTATTAAAATTAAAAAGTACTTATATATATATAAATATCTGAAAAGCTGACTGAATTTCTGACATTAATACTTTGTAAGAGCTGTAAGAGTTTATTCTATCTTTAAAAGCTAAGAAACCTTTTTTTACTTTGTATAATTAATTTATTAAGTATTAAAATAAAATTACCATAAAGTAATAATACTATTATTATTGTTTTACTTTTTACTTTAACATTTCTCAAGATCTATAGTGATTGCAGTTACTTTTTAGACTGTTTGCACAATAAAAACTTGTATTTTTAAATTAGTTTTAAAAAAAGTTAATATATCCCTTTAAAGTTCCACTGTTATGCTCATATGAATGCTAAATTGGCCAAAAGCACACAACTAGTTAGATCGTGATTTTTTTTTCTCAATTTTTTTGTTTGGTTTTGTTATTTTGCTCCCTAAAACCCATTTTTACCATTGGCGTTTTAACTAGAGTTGCGTGTATCACTGAATTCCACAAGTGTTTGTCAATATGGCCGTCCGTTGTTGTGTCAGAGATTGTCTTACTATTGGGAGATGAGAGGGTCTGTAATACTTACTATTGGAGAAAGCGTAACGGTCAACTTGGATCACGTGTGCCTTAATAACCAATCACATTACAGCCTTGAGAGTTGTGCGGCACTTAATCGCCGTTTACGATTACCATAGGAATTAATTAGAAGTGCTGTAAGCCGAATCCCACCTGTCACAAAAAGTCAGTGACTTCTCTTATAAAACGGCTTTTTTTCCCCCGGTGTAAACTCTAAAAATAGTTAAATCCAAAAGTATTTCTTAGTGTAAAACATGTTGGAGATTAGCCGACAGGCTGTCGATTCAATAAATGATAAGCTGTTTCCTCTAAAATGCTGTTTATTCAGCGTAGTGAAGCCTCTCCTCAATTGACATCCATTAGAAAAAACGCCCTCTGGTCTCCTTTCCCACGTACTGGCAAAGCGGAAGCGTTAGCATTAGGCGTTAAGCTTTTTTGGCTAAAGGTTGCAGGTTTGCCTTCTAGTGGCTTTGGTTGTGCCTCCAGTAGTTTGATGTTGTTTTGTTTTTCATATTACTTTTTCGATGGGTGAATCAACGATTTGGGCCAGTGTTGCCACCTTGTGGTCAAACTAAGTAGTGCGAAAAAAAACAATGCAGGCAGTTAGAAAAATCAAGCTGTGCATGTGTAAAACAGGTATATGATGATGGCAAAACTTTTGTCACATGCACTCTACGCATAACGCAAGTTTTAAGATGGCACATCAAGTTGAAAATAGTGTTTGAAAATGTATCTCAAGACCACTACATCCGTTCCGTCTTTGAACACTTCCTATGTGACGCCCACCAACTAGTAGTTTTGCACATTTAGTTGAATCCCTTATTCACTGATATCCATTCACACACGCGCCGTGTCAAACTGTCATGGGCATTCCGGCCCACTGCTGATCTGAGTCAGTCGCACACCGAGAGCCTGTCAGCCTTCTGCACGAGGCCGAGTGAATGGGTGATCCACGCTCGCGTGTCAAGGACGGGCCGTTCTCGGCCCACATGCACTCGGATGAGTAATAGCGCTGTAACTGGGGGGCCTGAGCCGTTTGAAGTGCTCTTTCTTCCTCTTTTCCATCTTCTTTCTCTCCCTCAGCAGCTGCCTCGTCCCTGGATGCTGATTTTAATTGCTTTCCTCTCGAATTTTGTGCATATCCAATGGAGACGTGGACGCCGCTGTTTGAATGCGAATAAAGAAGAGAAAGAGAGAAGAAACGCTCGGATGAGTAATAGCGCTGTAACTGGGGGGCCTGAGCCGTGTGAAGTGCTCTTTCTTCCTCTTTTCCATCTTCTTTCTCTCCCTCAGCAGCTGCCTCGTCCCTGGATGCTGATTTTAATTGCTTTCCTCTCGAATTTTGTGCATATCCAATGAAGGATTGAAGGGCACATCTTCTAACGAGCACTTTTTCATATTAGTTCTTATAATGCCGGCGTTTGAACTCAGGAATACTAATACACACAATAGAGGCCCGTGCGTTTGAAAGGAGACGTGGACACCGCTGTTTGAATGCGAATAAAGAAGAGAAAGAGAGAAGAAACGGGAAGGAGTGTATGCTGAGGAGCCCGCTGTAGGCAAACTGATTTGATTTATTTCATTTCCTAAAGGCGCTTGGCACGAATGACATCTGAAAGTGCTTTTGGAAACTATATTTAGACAGCAAGATAAATCGGGACACTGAGTGAATCAATAGAGGATCATATACAAGAGTTCAGTTAACTAAGCGAGAGTCTGTTGGCGCTCGTGCAAGCAATTCATTTCATGTAAACAGAGTATCGTATTATTAACTTTCACTCGGATCATATCTTGCGTGTCGTGCAGGAATCGATTGGGCCTGGATAGTGAATTTAAGTGTTACTTTTGCACATTCTTGCAAAATTCAGTTAAAACCGGCTTCAAATGGTTTCTGTGTTGTCCAAGTTGGTTATGTTAGGTCATTTTCTGATCAAGATGATGAAAACAAAAGTACAACGATAGATAGATAGATAGATAGATAGATAGATTCATTATTCAAATTAAACAGTATAATTTCTGATAGAGAGAAGTTGTGAAAGCTGTTTACTTTTGTCATTGTATTTAAAAAAACCCTCAAAAGCTACGTTTATTTTATTTTTTGTGTATACCTTATTAAGTATTCCATTTTTCTTAAGATATTTTCTTTCAGTAAAGACTTACATATTTCTATTTAAAATAAATTCTGTATAAATTGTATTTTCAAAGGTCCTCTTTCAAAAGCCAAAAAAAAAGTTTTTACATTTAAATAATTGTGTCCATTTTTATCCATTATTTTTGGTTATGGCTAAAAATGGGTCACAATAGCTGGACTTCCATCCAAAAGCGAAGCAAATCTTTTCAAAGTTTGCAAAAAACAAACAAACAAACAAAAACAAAACAAACACATACGAATTAGGTGCATTTCCATCAAGTTGTTTGAGTGGATGACGCTGGTATTGGTAACCTAGTAACCAGCAGTAAATAAAGCACCATCAGTGGAAACAGCCGGTTAGTCACGTGGGATTAATGTTCGCTACGTCAGAATTTATTCGGCAAATGCGTTTCCATCTCCCATTATGCACGCAAGTCAAAAACCATCTCAAGCAAATAAATTTTTTTTTTGCAAATTAAGGGCCCCCCCCCGATGCGATGCTTCAAAATGTGCACAAAAACAGGGTGAGGAAGCATAGCTAATGGTCTACTAGTCAACCATCAACTAAGTATTTGATTAGAGAGGTCAACTAGTTTCCATTCATTCATTCATTCAATTTGAAGTGTTGACTTTTTAGTGGTTTTTAGTCACCTTTATACAGATTGTTTCAAAGCAGCTTCACAGTGATAAACTGATGATGCAAACTTCAAAAATGAGGCAAATCCAAGTTCTGCTATAAATAATAGTTCTAACCGTGTGCTGTGCTGTTTTTAGACCAATTTAACTGTAAAAACCTCTATGAGAACTATTTAAAGTTGATCTAAACTACACAAATAGTAAGTGTACAGTATGTAACTCCATTCCTTTCTTAAGTTTTAGTATTAGCAGCTTTTCTCTTCTTTTGAGCTTGTTTGAATGTCAGCGTTGTGGTTAGCACTCCGAGCGTGATCCATGTAACGTTATGCACTCTACATCCCTCTCTAATTGTTAAGACTTTTTTTGTTGTTGACCTGACTTTCTCAAATCCTCACATGGCAGCGAAATGTCTAACAAGGCTGAGACCACTGTGCACTTCCCTTCTGGGCCGAATAAGAGTAACACAGATGGCCCAGGGTTTATTTCATTAACTCGGAGAAGGGTAGCAAAGCTTATTGGAATTTTTACATTCTGTCAGCACTGTGTAGGTAGCAGCAACACGGGCGTAAAACGGCGAATGAATTCATTTCTCCCGACTCTCGCAGCTCAAGAGAAACTTCAAAGGCCAGCGCTAAAAATCTGGGCCGAGTGGATTTGAAAGGATGAGTCTCTAATCTGTTTAAACTTTGCTTGCGCCGTGTATTTTCACACCGCCTTCCCCACCTCCTCAGCTAACCTGCTCTATTTTTCTTTTCATCATCACTTTCAGGTGCAAAAAGTACCTGTCTCACCATATCTGTGTCTCGGTGAACAGAGGTCAACAAACAGCGTCAGTTTTTCATTCAGCACACGCTAGTTTTGTCATCGAAATTAGGCTACATTTAGCTTTCAAGCATTATCACGCTGCCTCGTTTCGAGCTAATTTTGGCGCAATATGTTCCCAACTGGGCTCAGGAATGGAGTGAATGTTCCCCATGTGGCAGCGCTTTTGAAATATGTATTAAGGTGAGATACAAGGGGGATTTGAAACGAGAGGGTTGGACTTATTGTCGGAATATTTGATGATGTTAATGAGAAGCAGAACAGGTTTAAGCACTCAGCATGAGGAAGGCCCGGGCTACGGAAATAATGGATAGATAAAACGATGAAATATTCAAAGGCTGAAGTGTGATGAGAAATGTTCAGTAAAGCGTGGTGGAAACGGGCCCAAGCCTCGCCTCAAAGACCTTCAACTGAGACTTCTGCGTGACCTTAACATTTCTGCTTCTGCCGACTTTGTTGCTTACATGACAGCAGGAGTTATTCTACAAAAAGCGCAAGAGAAACCCTTATTCTTGTTTGGAGTGTTACTGAGGAATGGTGGAAGATATTCGTTTGATGGATGTTTGATTTATGGGAGGAGGTTTGGAGATAGGCAGGAGAATCTGAGGCTAAAATGAAATGGGACAGTACCGGGATGGTGTGTAACCTTTCAGAGGAGGAAAGTAAATGAAATATCAGTCCTTTATAGATGCCCTTGCAACTAAATGATGACAAATGCTCAGCATTACAGAGAGTAGAGAGAGAGAGAGAGAGCTTTCCAGTAGACATATTCCTTACTATGTACCTTGGTATAACCATGTTTTTGTTTTGTCATGGTACCATGTTATTGAAGTTTTTAGACTGCATCATGATGGTAATGGTAATACCATGATATGTTTTATAAGGTACCATGCAAATCCCATGCTAATAGTATTTTAATGGTATGACAGATATTTTATATAGTTACGGCTTCCTATTTTGATGTTATTGATGTTTTTATTAACGTCTAGGGATGTAGGAAGTCAACACAAAAGAATACATTAATAAAGGAAAAATGTAAAATGTTGTTAGAATCTTTTAGAATCTATTAGAAGAATGTCTCTAGAATCTTAAAAAAAAAGTGTTACTAATGAAACGAGATGTGTGAAGTAATGAATTAAACAGAAACCAGAAATGAGTACCAGCAAATTTTTAGTATTGTGTCCAACAAAACAATAAACAATTGATATAAATAATATATAATATATAATGTTAATTGTTAAATATAACAATATTGTTTTTCCTGGTTTTATATATATATATATATATATATAATTTATTTATTTTTTTACATTTTTGTAACTTAGTAGATGCAAACTAAAAGATGAGAACAGATGAGATGCTGCTTTATACAGCTCTATACTGCTTCAGAACAGTGACACATCATAGATATGAATGCTTAAGCTGTTGTAAAATAGTGTGACGTGTCAAAACTACAAATTGTTCTCTTTATAATCAACAAAGTCTACAGAGAGCTCATGAGAGTATGCAGAGTAGGCCGTAGTTTGCTGCTTGGTGTTGAACTGTTGCACTGCAGTATAAACACTATGGCATCATTTCTACTGGTTGACACTGGTTGTAGAGTCAGAAGGTGTATGCACCATCATACGACCTGCTCCTGTGGCCCAATGTTATCCTTCTGCTGGCATTTTGCTGTAAAGAAACAGAAATGTCATGCTATTTTGGAAGCAATTTTCTTAAGTAGTAACAGTTGGACGCTTTGGTTGATAAGTTAATTTTGCGAGTTCTCATGCATACTTTCATCCTTTACAAAAGTGCTTTGTGTTGTTTCCTTAATGTCCAGTTTGAATCTTAAAAAAAAAGTGTTACTAATGAAACGAGATGTGTGAAGTAATGAATTAAACAGAAACCAGAAATGAGTACCAGCAAATTTTTAGTATTGTGTCCAACAAAACAATAAACAATTGATATAAATAATATATAATATATAATGTTAATTGTTAAATATAACAATATTGTTTTTCCTGGTTTTATGTATAGTATATAACAATGTATAGTAATATTTTTTTTTATAAACCAGTGAACAAATTAGTTAAATACACATGGAGAGTCTCATTTTCATTCATTCATTCATTCATTCATTTGTTTGTTTGTTTGTTCGGTTGGTTGGTTGGTCAGTGAAATAAGGTGCTTATATATATACTGTATATATATATTTTTTTTATATATTTTTTTCCCATTATTATATAACCATGGTAATGCACAGTATTTTGCATAATAGAAATAAACCTGGTTAAAACCTGTTGCAATTTGCTGTGAACAACTAACATAATGCTTTTGGCTGAACGGTGCACACCACATGTTCTTTGATGACCCTTCATTTGGACTGAACTGCAAATCCCATTGACAATTTCCGATTAGAAGCCCATTAAATTAACCACCCTTGAAATCCTGGCAAGTCCAAAACGCTTGGCGATGCTGTCATACGATGGAGTTTAGGAGGTTGGCGCGAATGAATATGCGATGCGGACAATTGTTTTGCGAGCAGATGTGTTTCGTTGTTTGAAACTGAATGTCATTCATGAGCTGGCCTCGTTCTATACACTCAGTATGCTTTGCATTTTGTTGATTTTTGAGGCTTTCAGACGTTAACAAGTTCAAAACCGTTTCTGCTGTGAAATAGCTGCATTACTGAAGCATACTTAATTATTTAATTAAAAATCCCCTTTTCTTTCTAGCATCTTGGTAATGAAAAAAGAAAAACTTTCATCCATAAGTTCTAGTAAAATATTAACTAACATTAATTGAGTTTCCAGAGCCCAAGAGCTTGAACTCTGCTTTACATTGAAGCCGTTTGATACGCCGTGATGCTGCTTTTCTGCCGTGTTTGTAGTTTGTTTACTTTATTTCGCTTGCTTCAGATTTTTCAAGTCCAGAACATTTCTTTTTTTAGCCTGTGATGTGTTCACAGAGTTTTTTGCGCCGCAAGACTCCTTTTTATAACCCAGAGGAGTTTACTCACAAATGATGAGGTTTCACACAAATGATTCACTCGCATTACTCCCACAGCCTTGAGCTCCGTGTGGATTCACTTACAAAGTAAAAAAAACCCTGACAGCTGATGAAACTTTGACCGCTCGTTTATCCGACCAGTTGGACGTTTCGCCGTGAGCCAGTCTATTGAGTCGCGGCGGCTAATCAAGTTGAGGTGAGTTACTTTGAGCTTTCTCTGGTTGTGTGTGATACCACTGCCAGAGGGCTGGCCGGTCCGCTTTCCCATTGAAATGTAGTTTAGAGGTGAGAATTTGATGAGGAATAAAACTTTATCAATCCTCAGTAGGTCTGCTCGGAGGAAATTGGCAGCACGGGAGAGTCATTTGAAGTCCCGTGTCGTAATTGTAGGCATAGCTGCAGGAATGTCTCGGTTTAATCTCGTTCGCTGTCGCAGCTATTAAGGTCAAAATGACTTGTTTGATAGCAATTGAACGACATCCTTCCTGCTCCAAAAAGGCTTTTGAAGTGCATGGCGGTGTTCTGCTTATGCTAATGTCTAGTTGTCTCCATTACGTGTCAATGTTGAATTCTGATTCACCTTATAGTTGCCGATCAAAATGTCGAACTTGGAAAGATCACACGAGATCTTGACTGTCAAAGTTAATGGAACAGATCTGCGCATCAAGGTTCTTCTGTAATTACCTGGCACTTCCCACCGCGAAAGCCTCGAGATCAAAGGGGAAAGACATGAAAGGCTTTGGGAAGATTCACCTCACTTCTTTTCTTGGGTTTTCCTCTTCCTGTTCAGTCTGATATTGAATGGTTGACCCTGCAGCATGCATAAGAGGACATGTTAGGTGTGACTAAAGCCTGAAGTATGCTTTGTTTGTATGTGTATTTTACCAATCAGTTTGTCCACAAGGTTGCAACACTGAATCTGGCCATTGGTTTACAAATGAAAAACGAATATGGTGCGACAAAAACAATAAACTACTGAAGACGGTAACAGTAATAGACGCCCGTGTTGACGAGCACTTGCGTGAGGTGGTTCAGAGATTATGCAACTCTAGTTTTAATGAATATATAACGACAT